ATTTATCCATTGCAACAAAAACACAAAAAATCAAATCTTTTCTCTTCGTAATATTGGATAACAAACAGGCTGACAATCTACGTGATAAAAGTTATTATTATTATTAATTATGATAATTATATAGTAAAATTATATTAAATAATTATTATAAAATACATTATGACTGCTATGGTATCCTATATAAAGAAAAAAGAGCTGTGTAAGTATTATACGAGTAGTTACTTACCGCTATGGGGACGATTTTTATAATAGTCTGCCTTTATTTAAAATATGTGTCTTCCCTATAAATATTGTAGTAGTATGAATTTTCTATGAATCATTTCAGTGAGTCAAACTATTGATTTACTTAATCTCTCAGACACACAAAAGTTAGGGATAGATAAAAATAAACTTTATTTCTAGTGACTCATGAGTCTGATGTAGGGGAATGTGATCTACTTTGTAAGGAAACAAGACTTAGTTATTAGAGATGGGTAATATATAGAAATATCTATAAATTGTAAGATAAGGGAATATTTAAATTCTTATTGTTATTTTTTTATGGTTACATTATATAAAAGACGAATATATTAAATATCAGTTATCCAAGATATGATATGGAAATAAAAAAATTCGGTCGAAATGGATATATTTATCTGATCGGTATACCTGATATGATATATGGTATGGAAATAGGTGATGATATTTTTTATGAAAAAACTCAATATATAGATATTGGAACAATATCGATACTAACTATCTCTACTAGTTAACTCAGTAAAATACCTGTTAGCTGATTTTCATATAAATTTATAATTATATGCTTTATTTTCCAACATTCTTTTTACACCATGGTAATAAAAGCATGAAGTAAAAAAAGTAAGAAAAAAAATTACACTGTAAACACATTTTTATTATCGATTTTAATCTCGACGTAAATAAACATCTCTTGCATATGTGTAATGAGAAAAAAAATGAGAAATTTGTAATGGGCGCGCAATATTGGTCTATACTTCAAATATTTAATATCCAAGGTACAGGTGCTCTTTTTCACAAGTCCAAGGCTAGAGTGGTAGCGTTTTATATAAAGGTCTCTTTTTTTATTATAATTATTATCTATTTTTTAATGGATGATAATGGATTTATCGTCTTTTTTTAAACAAGATAATGGAATTATCATCTATTTTTAAAAAAGATGATTTGAATTTGATTTGTATTTGTTCGATAGATAGTTTAATTTTAATAGATAAGACATTGAAACTTTTTTCTCAATACTCAAGCAAAATGTACCTCGAATACCTATTTTTAATTTTAATGGATTATAATGGAGTGGCAAAGGCTAGAGTAGCCTGGTCGGTCACTAGTGAGGGTTAAAGCAAGTCAGTTAATACCGATTTTAGTAGTTTGCTTACACATGATCTAACTATACTGTAATGATTTTGTAATTTAGAGGCATTATTATGTATCTACTTTTTATTTTATGTATACAAAATATTTAAATGGTAATTCAATTGTTGATTTGATTAAACTTGTAACTAACTGTTCAATAGAATAGAAATCATTTATTCAAATAAACTTACATTGAAGCACTTTTGAAAAGTCATTACATTTTTTTTAATCTACCGCTCGTTCGGAAAGCTGTCTCATCACAAGAAGAACGAGCAAGAAACTTGCGTGTTGCTCTTTTAAATAATTTTATTATTACTCAATTCAAAACTTCTAAATGAAAAATTTCTCAAGATATATAAAATATTAATCATAAATTGTTATTATTATTCTTAGATTGAAATAGTATTTAGTTATTAATTTTAGTTAAGGAAAACATTATTGAAAAGAACAAAAATAAGAAATCAATTTGGCGGGAACGCAACAGTGGCGCCAACCATTGTACAGAGGTTAAAGAAAGGCTACAGTGTGCGGATCACCATGATGTTTTGAGTCGCGGAAGAATAAGCTTGTAAAAGAAATAATTGTTGAAAGGATTTGATGATTGTAGTGTTGAAGGTGTTACCTATTAAAACTGAATAATAAGTTACTGATCTTTATTTTTTACAATACTTAATAAATATTTATTATACATAAGCCTTTCTATTGGCCCAATTCATCTGTAATTCTTTCTCACCAAGATATTAATTTTCAATAACAGGTGTGATTTGTGAACTTTATATTAATTACGAAACTCCAATAATTTACATTTTCATACAAAACATTTCTGGTATTTTATTATTTGGAATCATCAGCACTTTCTCTTTACGTACCTATTCATCATATATAAATATATTATTATAAAATCTTCCATTTTTGATGTCGTCCATAGCATAGTATAGTAAGGTTCTGAATTCTATTCTCTTTAGGATCAGCTTAATAAAAATATTAATAATAAAACCTCTGGACATACGAGTATTATATATTTTTATCATGTCTCAAATAGAATTTATGTTATGGATATTAAACAACAAGGCAATAAAGAAGCAGGTATGTAGATACTCTTCACCTGCAAAAAATTCTCATCACGTTAAGTTCCGATAGTGTATTTAAAATAAGTGTAAATAATGCGAAAGTTCAACATTAACACGCAGACATACAATCTTATTTTATATTCAACGCAAAGATAAAATTTGACAAATGACACTAACTACTACAAAAGAGATGATAATCATGAGTATTATTCGTTTACTTATTTTATTTGATGGCTTGATGACATATCTTATCTATCCATGTAGTTTACATATAAAAAACAATGAAATAATGCTATTTTATAAATAGATTCTGGAAGTTGGTGACAAGTTGTTAGGAGAAAAAGTATTATATACTATTAAAGGTAGAAAAAGTATTATATTACAGTACTACTACTACCGTATTTGTGATTGACGTTGGTTAAAAAGATTTTCGTTGATTCAACATAGTGATCGCTGAATGTATAATATGGTGATCGAAAAAGACCGGAAACGTAAAATTTGGAGATATTCTGAAGAATGAAACTAAAATTAAAGTACTTGCTGCAATGCTGGCAGAAATGGTCGTAAACATAAGAATCGAGTGCCATTCAGGAAAAGAATTGTTATTTTGAAAACTATAATTAAAGATGTTGCAAATTTTATTTAGTCATTTAGTTACTTTTTTTAACTAATTTCCAAAAATTACAGCTCAGTTTGACATAATTAATTATGAAATAATTATGCGTGAACATTGTTAGGCGCTCATTTCAGTGCAAAGTCACGTGGCAACTTCTACCCTCTTGACGTTAAAGACTGTATAAATTCTGCTAAAGTTATAATATAGTATGCAAGAGTTTGTATGTTAATTACGCTGAAAAGGATAAATATTTGAAGAAGAATGTATTACTTTAAAAGTTTAAAGATTGTTCATTTTATTTTAAATACTGAACAAACCTTTATACACATCCACTAGTATAGGTACGTTTTAATGGAGGTTTCAATAAATAAATACACCTTTGAACTGTACCACATGAGATTATTGTTATTATTCAATATATACTTAAGCGGTCTTCCACCGTGCGTTTTTTAAGGCACTTTCTCCCACGCACAACCATTCTTTGGAATCAACTTCCAGCAGCAGTATTTCCGAACCGATACGAGAACATAACCTTCAAGAAAAGAGTATATTCCTTTTTACGGCAGCACACCTGCAATGCCGCTGGTGTTGTGGGTGATCATGGGCGGCAGTAATCACTTACCATCAGGTGAGCTGCACGCTCGTTTGCCTCCTGTGTTGTAAAAAAAAAAGCTTATATAGACATGCCAAAAATTTTAATATCGCGTTGTAGCCCACAGATACTAAAATAACAACTTCATCTAGTGGTCAACTTGTGGAGTATTTCTGTTGTTTCCATGGTTACAGCATTTAACTCAATACGGATTATACAAATACTATTAAAAATTTTTTCATCGAGAGCGTGTATTTAGAAATTTGAATATAATCATCATAATCATCATCATCTTTTTATCCTATTCGCAATTATATAAATTTTGGGATCGGCGTAATATGTTTTTATCCATATTACCTAAGGTTTTGACTCTTAGAAAATTTGATATAATGTTTGGTTTTTTTTAAATAAGGTTTGAATAATTCACTAGATAACTTACTATCCACATGGTCAAATAGAAAAGATATTCACTTATTTTTATATAAAAAAAATATAAATAGAGCTATAAGAGTAATTTAATTAATTCTAAAAATGTCAAAGTTTAAAATAACTTTGCTTCGCACAAAAATTTAACTTAAAGAATGAAAAGGAATTTGAAGCTTATTCTTTTCTTAACAAGTTCTAATTCTGTAATCCTTTTTGAACTTGCTTTTAAAATCGAGTGCTTAATACAACTTCCTGTTAAAAGTTTCAATACAATTAAGATTCATGAGTAAGTTAATATTAAAGGTAACTTAATTTTTGTCTTAAAACATTTATTAAGCGATTGCAGTTAAATATTATATAGTAAATGTGACTTTATCACTATTATTAAGTTACACAATCATTTAATTTTTCCCTATATTAAAAGATCTGATTTTTACATTATTTGTAAAGATAGATGGATTGGTGTTTGTTACTCCTTCACGCAAAAACTACTAAACAGATTTGAATGAAATTTGGTAGGTACTTTGGTACTCAGGTAGGTTATATTTTTACTTAGCACATGGAATACTTTATAATATTTTATAATACTGTTTCATACAGGTTACTCTTTAATAGGTATTAGAATTTCATTGCACAACTTCTAAGTGCTTCTAAATGATATTCAAATATGATATATTTTGATATCAATAAAACATAACTCATCGTACTTTAAACTCCCTAATGATTGCTCATAACAAGAATATCCTATGGAATATATTAAGAACACAAACAACGTAACGAAAAGCACAACCCAGAAGACTTAAGCTCGAGGGAATTGGGAGAAGTTTGTTTTCCAAGTTGGTACAAACGTACTCGTACAATACAACTCGACTCACTTATTTGTAGTAACACGCCTAAAGTAAAAATTAACAATAAAACAAAATATGCGTTTATTTTTATTTATTTATTCTTAGAATGAAAGTATTTTTTCAAATTGGTATAAACGCAAAATATTACGCATTTATTTATACCAACACGCCTACAAAGTCGATTTTATAAATTAATAATAAAATTAAAGAATGCATTTTATGATTATTTATTAATAGAATATATATTTTTAGCATGAAAATTACGTGCAGTAATAACGGTTATATTAATAAATATAATTAAAAAAAAAAGACAAAAGAGTAGGTGTAATTTGGTATATATTTTATTTACACATGGTCAAGTACTGTCATATAACTACTTGTTATAGAATGTGATTTAAGAACAAGGAATTATATACAAGGAATGATAAAATAAAAACTGTATATCATATAGTTACCTCCTTTCTTCTTATGCAAATATAATTAGTAAAAAGAAGACGAAAGATACTCCATCAGTTGCTATTTTTTTTTTCAATTAATAGCAGACTACTGTATAGAAAAAGTGTATGTAAAATTTTTTTTTATATTAATATGTCAATAAAAATTTTACATTACTAGATTATATTTTCGACACAGTTTGGGTAGAAAGTATTCAAGCAGGTTGTATCTGAATTTGGTAGGATTATACAGCCAATAAAATCTACTGAAAGCTAGCCTACTACGAATCGAGAAAACTGATAGTATATCTCACGTCCTCTTTTTGCATTAACTTAAGAAGAAAAGAGGCAACTATACAATTTACTGTTTATATTTCATCATTCCTTCTATGTAATTTAGAATGTGATCTATTTACAACAACAAAATACCCTAATAACGTAGTAATATTTAATAAATATATTATTTTTAAGTAATACAAAGCAAACAAAGTTACATAGGAAAACTACCTAAATATATTAATATTAAAAATTATACTTTGTCGGTCTATTTTTTCTTGTCCACGCCAATGACTGACAGGCTATACTTACATAGATATAAAAGTTAATTACTTTGTCTGTTTTTACAGTTCAATTAATCGTCATTAAGTTTAGTATCTACATATTATTTGTGATGGAGAAAAACATAGGCTACTTTTTATCCCAACCAATCAACATATTATTATCTCGGTCACGCAGACGAAGTTGCAGATAAAGAGTGGTCTTCTAATATATCTACAGGGTGCAATTAAAATTATTGGCGTGCTTTTGAGAGTTCCAGACCTTCTAGACTGTTAAAAAGGTTTAAAACTATTTGTCATATATATATATATATATATATATATTCGCACCTTGGCATTAGGTATACGAAGTAACATATATCATTCTAAAATGCTGGCACATCTCTAGTTGATAATATAATATTAAAATGGGAATTGTTTTAATTAATAAATAAGAAATATTATAGTAACATTTATACATTCTAATAATGATTAAATAAAAAAAAAATAGCTTATTATTCCATTACACATCTTCTCGTACCTACACAATAAATATTCGATGTTCAATTAATAATGTATACAAGATTAAGAAAAATAAATCTAGTACTTATTTCAATTAAAGAAATAAGATGATATAATAATATAATTAAATTAATAACATAATAATTTTAAATATATATTTGACAAAAAAATCATATGAAATGCTTTCGTCTAATACTACTTACACTATTATTTAATCTACCATAAACTACTATTATACAATAATCAAAAAAGAGTATAAAGTACTTTCTGAAATATAAATTAAGCACTTTAGAGCAGTCCGTAAACTCTAGTTATTTCCATATATTCTAATTATTCTGCTAATATTGTATTTAAATGTGATAATCTGTAAAAATTTTTAGATGTTTTTTACTTATAAACGAATTTTTATGGCAGTTAGTCATAGAGTCTATTATGAGATTTTATATTAACTAATAACTGTGAAAGCAGTTCATCTTCATCATCATCACTTTTGATCTCTATCGTTGTTTATTTGTGTTATCGTATATAATCTATAAGTAGGTATATTTATATATGTATATTTATATTTGTATGTATGTATTTTTATTACATATTTGTATATTTATGTAATATTTGTTTAATGTATTCATGTGTGTATATTTATATAATCTCTATTGTATGTGTTGTAATTTTTTTTCACCGCATATTAAAATTTCTGTTTTGCCAAAGGTTGACTGGGAGAGAATGCTATATAATAAGTCCGCCTTTTGTACCAGACATTTTTTTTTTGTAATGTGGTCAATAAAGCATAAATAAATAAATAAAAAAAAATAATACAAATGCCAGTTTTTATCTCAATCCATGCGACTACTATTTTATATGATCCACTAAGAATGACCCGCAGCATCGTTGTCCTGAATTATAATATCTAATCTTATTAAATCGAGTTACGTTTATATTTTGTATAACTTTTTATTCATTTATTGTAATGATTTGTATAAAAGAATCCTACTAATATAATAATACTGTAACCAGATGATATCTGTATATAAGAGACATTAAGGAAAATTGACATAACGGGTCTTAATAAAAGCAATAGGAGCTTAAACAATTTTTAGAAACTTTGCCTGTCTATCTGTATGTGCTTTTTTTTATAACACAGGCACAAACAAGCGCCCGCAACAACAGAGGCATCACAAGCGTGCAGCCAACCTTTTAAAAAGAAATATGCTCTATTTATTCCAGCCTTACGCAAAATCTACTGCCCGATATCGGATGCGGTTTCCACAATTATATCCTTGAAGGTCTAATTTAAAATCTGGTGTATATAAATATATAAGAGATCTATTAATTGATTATCTTACTTCTAAAATCCAAGCGCATAAAGTAACCCGCAAAAAGTTAGTCATAAATAATTTATTCTTTTTTTTTATACCGCAAAGGTAGCAAACAAGTATACAGCCAATCTGAAGGTAAACGGTTACTGTAGCGTATGGACTGTCTAATTTAAATCAAAACCATTCAAACATTACATCGATCTAGTAACAAAACAACTAAATATTTTAACAAATTTTCACATTTATTATAAATAAGTATATTAGAACATTTGTAATAACTCCTACGGCCGTTTCATGCCTATACAGACGAATGTTTCCCAGTTATAATACCCGTAGTCTTATTGTATTCATATTCCTTAATTCCTGCTTTATTCAAATTCTCCTGTGTCACAGACTCACAGTTGGCTCTCAATAGACCTTTTTTGTCACTGAAAATTGTTTTATATCCTTCGTTAAAAATCCAACACATGCAGTTATCCATGCAAGCGTACATGCATCTTTTAATTAATTAAATTACATATTATCGTTTTATCAGCTATTGAATTAACAGTTGTCTCCTGAAAAAAAAAATTGCTTCCAATCCCAAGTCTGCCTTTTTAAATAAGTGACAAATGAGAAAGAGAGAGAACGATTCATTCAACGATTCATGAGAAAGAACCAAACACCGGACATTTGGAAGAAACAGAATTGTTAGTGAAGGAGACTAGTGGACCCATTGCTAGCAATATACTCTATCAGGCCAAATCTATACGCGATTCCCTTTGAAAACCATTGTGGTTTATTTTTAATGATTTCGTCATGATGGGCCAACTGGTTTGCTTCATTGGTTTCCCGCTAGCGTATGCCGATAGTGTAAGCGGAGTTACTATTCCATTATCATGCATTAAACAGACAAGATGACACTATTTCATTTTTCATATGGACTGGTTACTGATAAGAATCCAATCAGCAAATTCGTTTGCCACTTATCTAAGAAGCAGGATCGATAATTAAGGCTCTTGTTCCATCAAATAGACATCTGATATTTAAATATCATCATTATTTTAGCTCTTTATCACTATTGGGCATGGTTCTTTTGCCCTAAAAGGGAAAGATAATGTTTTTTTTTTTTGCGTATGTATAATATTATCTTATCAACCGGTAATTGTACACTATCGATCAAAGGCCTCACGCATAAGAGGAATTTTGTACCAGTACTTTCCACATTTAGAAGACAGGTTAGCAACTACAGTTAGGCTTTGGTTTTAAGAGGGACGCTGCTGCACATCTCTCGACTATTAAACTCCTTAAGTCGCCTCTTACGACACTTACGGGAAAGGAATGGGTGGTCCTTTCTATGTTGGGACCACACGATATGCATATTTTATTGTGCTTTATTCTTTTAATTCTATAATATCAAAAAGTAATTGATGACAATGCATTCTTACACAGAGAAGTTTAAAATAATTGCTACAATTTGCAAATATAACATTTTCACAACAGTCCTCGGGTATGGCAACGTATAAGGGATACCATGGCCACTATGATGCCCATGACGCTGTTCATGTCTATAGATGATAGTAAAAACTTTCCATCAGGTGGCTTGTTAGCTTTTTAATTTTTTCCATGTTCCATAAAAAATATATGTATATTTTAAAAACATTACCGCGTTTGCAAGTTGTCGTCTTTTCTTTTCCTGTTATTCTTGTAGTAACAGTTCGCTATAATCCCTTGCCGTCTCCAAATCAGAAGAATTAAATCCAGTATCAGTAAAGCCAGTAATACTACAGCAACCGCTATACCTATTATAGCTCCTGCTGATAGAGTCGGCGTGGGTTCAACAACTAGAGCTAAAAAGTAGAAAAGGTACTCAAATAAAATGTATACAATTTATGTTACAGAATAATGACCACTTAAACCGACTTAAACTATGACGGCACCATTTATTTTAATCTAAAAATTATAGTACTTAAACGATTTAGGTATAATTTCCATAGGAGTAACCTGTAAGTATATCTTTTCAAATAAAAAAAGATAATTTTTCAAATCGGTTTAGAACTGACGGAATTATGAGGTAACAAACATAAAAAGTATTATCGAATTGAGAACCTCTTTTTTTGAAGTCGGTTGCAAATAGAATTGTTCGGTATACGAGTATATAATATATGTTTAGTTTTCCCCTAACGCTTGGAAGAGAAAGCTAACTTGTTTTTTTATACCGTGTACTATAAGTAGTCAATAAAGTTACTATATATAATACATATATGTATAAATACAAACAAAAAATTTTATTTTCATAATCGGTAATAGGTACTTTTGAAAATATTTTACGACGCTTCCCACACTTCAACATCAAAAACAAATTATTAACAGCGAAAAAATGAGGTCATCGAGGATCCAGCACTCACTCTAGCAACCATAAGAAAATTAAACCTATGGACACTCCTTGTGACACTCCTATGAACACTTGACTCCCTTTTGAAGCGCAGCGCCTCCTCAAGTCTCGATGCTACCTTGATCTCGACACCTCATTTGAGTCTTGGCGCCTCTATTGGATCTCAACGCTGTCCCTGGGTCTCAAATCACCGGGGCTCTCTCGATACACCTTTCTCCCTTCCTAAAGCCAGTACTGAGTGTAATGTATAATTAATTAATTACCTGCCACATGAACAGTGATATTGGCTGCGGCCGAATTCCCCATTTGGTTATGTGCGAGCAGTTCGACGCAATACGTGGTATTCGCATTCAAAATATTTGTGTTCAACTGCAGTTTATTTGTTGTCTCGATGTTTATTTTCTTGCATGATTCCTCATCAATCTCACAGTTCTGTAAGAAGAAATCATAACAAGTATTAAATATATTTTTACTAATTAATAAATTTAAAAGTTTAGATGCTTATTACACCCTTAAATCTCATTAAAAAGCCATTAAACGTTAAACGCAAATATGTAAAAAATAAATCAATAAGCAAACAAACAAAAAAACTCACTTTCTAAATACTTTACTGAACTAGATGTTATTTTGTGGAAGACCATATCATTGGTAACATTTGAAAATAGACTATTATTATTATTAGTAGTAGAAGTTCAACGACCTTTCACTTTAATAATATTATTTTCTTTTAAGCATTCAATATTTTACAGTAATAATAAAATATTTACCTGGCAATATCGTAGAGTATAGTAATCTATTGGCTCGCCATTATCATCCGCCGCTTTCCACTTGAGTACTTGATTAAGTTTCGATACATTTACCACCGGGAAATCTACTTCCCATATAGGCGAATTTGGTGTTGACCTGAATAATAATAAATTTACAATAAGATAGAGAAGGATATGTTATTTACAATAAATTTTACATTTTCATCCAGAAACTTTTATGCAACGTAAAATGGCAAACAAGCATTGCCGAAAACCGGGGCAAGCCACTAGTTATATATTAACTCTTGCCTTTTAACTAACAAACAAGGTTATAGATATTTGTATCAGTATCAATTAAATATTAATAGAAATAAGCATTTACACTTACGGTTTCATCGTCTCGAAGAAGAAAGACGCACTCCACTCTCCTACACCAACTTCGTTTTGCGCCGCAAATTTTATATTATACGTTGTTTTAGGCTTCAATTTGTCCAATTTAAAGTCTCTGTCAATCGACCACGTCCTGTTTTTGTGGATATTTGTTATCCCATAGTTACTAGCTTCATCGTATTCACAAGTAATACCGATTATAGGTGGTCCAACCAAGTAGTCGGGTACCACGATTTCGAAAGAGGCCGATGTAGCCGTAGTCTCTCCTGATGCCTAAAAATAAAGCGGAAGATACATTGAATCCTTAGATTATATAGATAGAGTGTCGAGTCTTAAAAACGAGTCAATTTTTTGTTAGCTAATTGTCAAATAGCTGACTCGTTTTTTAATTAGTATTCTATATATTTACGTATATAATGTATCTTGACACATTTATACTTATTTAAGAAATAAAATTAGTGTTAAAAAAGTGCAAAATTAAAAATAAATATAGATGTTATAAATGAATTACAACTAATTATTACCACGCAAAAATGTATGAAAAAGTTGACCCACTTTTCTCGAAGCATTTGTATGGAGACTATCTATATAATCTAAGATTGAATCTTTCAATATCTGAAAGAGTCAGTTTATGAATTATATTATAAAGTAGATTTTACTGATTGAATAGTTATTATTTAACCTTCTTTTTTTATGCAATTTGGAACTTATTGTTAATAATAAAGCTGAGGTCAGAAGCAATTGTTGTATATAAACATGAACAGCACTATGAATATTATAGAATATACTATGATGCACATAATAGAGATACCCGTGCAAACGGTATTTATAAAAACTGTCACCTTTCAGAGGGTAAAATTAAAAACACTGGTAAAATTTTCAAGAACAAAAAATAAACTTATAGTAGATAAATTTCTCGTTATCATTGATAATTATTTTTTTTAATTTTAATAATTTCCTTAATTCTATTAAATGTGTAATAATTGGAAATAACAATGAAGTCAACAAAACAGAGACCACATTTTATTTTCAAGCGACTTCGTAAGGAAGGACGAAATTTCTTATCCTCAAAATCCCTTCACATTCATCTACGCGCTATAGTGGATGTTTTACCGTCCATGCTGCCAGATTGTCAAATTCTCTACTCATATCTATCCGTGAGAGTCAATCCCTAAATATTTTTAAGAGTAGACTTAAAGAGCATCTTCTATCTCTATGAACATATATTTATTTATCTATATATGTAGGTATATTATATGTATATGTGTATGTAAGTATATGCATAGATGTAGGTATATATTTATGTATGTATATGTATATTTGTTCGATTAAATATAATGTAATTAATTTAATTTGCTTAAAAATTGTCATAATATTGTACATTGCTCTATTCGCTAACATTGATGCTCCTTTTCACTTTGGATTTGCTGGAAGAAAACTCTATTAGAGTTAAGCTCACCATTGTAGATTTGATTACCTCTGTCATATTCTTATAAATGGTGTATACAATAAAGAATTAAAGAATAAAGAAAGGAGAGAAGGAGAAAGGAGAATTCAATTGTATTTTTTTATGTTTGTTACCTTATAACTCCATCAGTTCTAACTGTTTTGAAAATTTCTTTTTTATCTGAAAGCATATGACATACAGATTGGTTCCATAGAAATTTTATTAAAATCGGTTCAGTAGTTTTAGATCAAAACATTGATTTCTGTCATAATTGAAGTCGGTTTTTTAGATACAATCTTTAATTATTCCACTATAATAAGTATAATGCAGATTATGCACTTACATTTTTTATAGGCGGCGGAACGAATCCTTCTTGAAAATATATTTGTTTTATTGCTTCTCCCAAATTATTTTTAGCGATGCATTCGTAATATCCATATAATTTAGTTGAATTTGCTGTAATGTCTATAGTTAAGTAATATGTATCTGGTTCACTTGTCATTGCTTCTATTAACTGTCGCTTCATATGAAACTCATCCACTGTTTGTTCGTTGTTACCTAGATATCTGTTGATTAAATAACTTATTACTTATTAGTGTTTTCCCTACAGATTACTGTATGGAGCTCTTCAAAATAGGTATATTAAGGTTTCTTCAAGGTCGGCATTGCGCACGTGGCACCCATAGTGTTGCAGGCGTCTATAAACTACAGTGACCGTTTAGCATCAGACGGGCTATACGCTTGTTTGGTAAAGTCAAATTGTTATCAAGATTTGAAAGTAGTATTCTACCAGTGAAGTCTTTCACCAAAGAACATGGATTGAACGACGTCAAAAATTTCTCGCGTCCCATAGTAATATGGCGGGTCGTGTGGTTAAATTTGTATAGGTGCTTAAGATTTTATAAAAAAATTTAAAATTTTTATATTAATATATATACAAAATGTGTATAATAGACAATCACACTGTTTTATTTCTAACCAATATTGTTGAGCGAATAAGTAGATAGTGTATAGGTAACTATTGTAATTCAATTTGCACATAATACAAACACACAGAACAATACAATCTAGAACACTTTACTAAATTGCCTCGATTGATTGTTGCTTAATTCAAGTAATGCAACATGTATACAACAATATTCAGGTATTAATTCCTGCTAATTAATCCTTGCATAATATGCACAATGTTTTATTAACATTTAAAATTAAAAAACTAAACTTTTTTAATTTAAGGATTCTCTGTCAAAGTAACGAGTCTAAACTATAATAATTAGTCAAAATAATATTGTAATAATTACATTTTTATTTGTTTTTAATTAATTTTTCATTATTTGTCTCATTTAAACGACCTCTAGGTATGAAAGGGATAATAATAAATTTATATTTTATTTAATATTATATTTTTTTTATTATTATTTTAGGACTCCTATATAATAAGAGGGATATTGCAAAAGTTGATACGCTTGGCAGGCGAGTAGGCGACAGCAGTTAGGCATTTTAAAGTTTTAAGAGGGACGCTGCTACCTATTACTCGACCATTATATTATTTAAGGTTAAAATTAATATCAAATATATAACAAAATTAAATATCCTATAGTTATTTTTTAAATTTTATTATATTTTATATACTGTGATTTCAATGTTACTCCTCATGCGTTGTTATTTCTGACGAATACGGTATTATGTCTCTGTATTTTAAATTCACTATCGGGATTTAACGCCATAAAAAAATTGTTTGCAGGTAAATATTTTTTTCATCGCAATGAGTTCCGATAGTGTATTTAAAATATGCGTTAACTACGTGAAATTTTAACATTAACTATGTCTATGTACCCTGCAATTTCACTACCATATCTCGCCTTTCAAACCGAACAGCTGTGCAAATAAACTCGTGTTGTTATTCAATGCCTTAGCATAACCACATACCTAGAGACACGAGAAAAAGAGCACATAAGGAGTATGCAGTAAGTCACCTATAGTCATTTTTCAAGGATAATCATCATCTCTCAGAAGTCTTATATTTTTAATACAATGCCTACCAGCGTAGACAATAGATCGAATTGAATTGAATGAAATTCTTTGTCAGAATATATTATCAATAAACAATTGAATGCTTAAAAACATTCTACGTATTAGATATTGTTATTCTAAATAGAGATTAATCTAAAACAGTTACGAATCATCTTTAATTCAATACATACCTCCATGTGATGTTCGGTTTAGGGTTTGCCTCGCTCTCACAACTGATATTGACTGTTTTACCAATCCAACCCCAAATTGTTTCATTTGGCTCTTTAAAATGTGGTTTTCTCAGTACAGTTAAATACATTGTCTTCGTCACAATATCGACTGTAAACAAAGTCAAAAATATATAAATACTTGAATGAACAGACTTTGCAGCTAAATTAGTTGTATCCTCCAGCGTCATATGTGGTTGTATTGTGATGTTAAATAGCCTTATACTCTGTAATAGCCTCAAAAAATGAACTTTGAAATGCAAATATATCTAATCCGTTTCATAGTTCCAAAGATTAAGGCACTAAAACAAACATACTCTTCTTCTTAATTTTATCTTACTTTTTCTATATCTAAAAAATATTTTTTAATTTACTTAATCTGTTTCATAGCAGATACACAAATGAGACAGAGGTACAGAGGTACACAAGTAGATGATTTTTGTATAAAATCTCTTTCTGGTAATATCTGGAATTCGATAGAAGAGGAATTTAAATTGAAGTAGAAGTTTTTTTTTTAATAATAAATTAGGCTATGAAATTAAACTTACTTTCATTACTGGCATTACATATATAAAAGCCTTCATGCGATGGATTCACAGTTATAAACGATAAATTGTTTAAAATATCATCTTCAGTGGATTCTCTACAAAAAAAATTATATAATGTAAAAAAAACTTTCATATAATCTGTGACCAAATCTGGTGACGAAGTAAGAATACAATGTGTCATCAGTTTTTTAGTACTAGAATATCATAACAGGTGACTAAAGGAATAAAATAAAAACTATTATGATACCTGTCCAATAGAAGGAAAACTCAAATTATGACTGTTTATAAAAAATAACATTGAACATTATACAATGTAAATATACTTTCATATATTCTGATGAAGAAAAAACACTGTGTCACCAGTACCTTTATCTCCTAAATATTACAATAGATGACCGAGGGTATAAAACACAATGCTTTATACCTGTACAATAGAAGGAAAACTCGAATTATTATTTATTTATTAAACTTTAATATAGCTAGAAAGTGTAAATGGCGGACTTAACACCATATGGCGTCATCTACCGGTCGACCGTAGACAGTTATTACTCTCTATAAAAATATTGTGGCACATTATAAAAGTAAGCTTTCATATATAATATTTGTAATCAAGATTGATGACGGAATAAGAATTCAATGTGTCATCAGTTTTTTATCCCCAGAAAAATATAACAAACAACTAAGGGAATAAAATACAAAACATTGTGTATCTAATTATTATATGTGATAGTGGTCGCCCAGTGGTCGAAAATTTGACCGTAATATATATTGTAATAAATGAATTTATTATGGTTATGTATGACATTCAGTATGACTATAGAGAAATAATGTTAAAGATAAACAATACAAATTTATTTTTAATTTGACCACAGACTTAAACTATAAACAAAAGTGTTATTATATGTGTGTTTTTTTTATTTATTTAATATATATATATATATATATATATATTAAACTATAAATAATTATCATACCTAAACTCCTCATCATTGTCTTTGCCAATGAAGATTATAGAGACATTAGGGGTCGGCCGCCCTATTGTGTTGCAAACTATTTGTGCATTAGATCCAACGGCGACGGTCTTATTGCTAAATTCCGTTATTTGAGGTGGCACCAAAACCTGAAGATAATTACTCTAATATTATCCACAGAGTAAAATAAAAATCGTTAGTAACCTTTTAGGATAGTGTCCAATTATATTAAATATTTTTCCAAAAAAGGTTGAGAAAAGATAATTTTTTTTACTTATATAGCGCATTCAGCTAGATACAGTATATAAGTGTAGGTTATCTAGTTAGTATGAGAAGTTCAAAATTTGATCATGTATCTTTATGAAAAATGTCCAGTTTCCCTGATGGAACACTTCTTTAAAACTATAGTATATAGTGTCTAAACGAAATAAAATACGTAAAATTAAGAATCTACCCATGCTGTAGTAAAATGATTCCTAAAGTGAATTTTAAGGGGAACCGAGGGGTTTCGTAGAAAAGTCACCAAGGCTCCACAAAATTATTTATGCAGAGAAAAAAATTATCCTTCATATTAAAAGTTGAAGTAAATAATAAAGAGTTTCATTTTTAAAATAATTTAAATAAAAGTTTTTATCCTTATTTAAATTATAGTGCCTTTGATTTATAATAATTTAATGTGATATTCTATAAAATAAAATATTATTTGTGATAATGGTAAGTTTCACTGATAGAATACTTGCTTCAATGGATGCTAATGATTTCAATTTCAACCTGAACAATTTTATAATTAATTTTTTTATAATTAAGTATTGAAAGGTAAATAAAAGCGATCTTTCTGAGTTAAATGTTATTTTTTTTGTATCTCAGTATAACGTAGTAAAGTCTATTTATTATTATAGTATTTCTACGATTTTACTACGTGGAAATGAGTGTCTTTCGGACTTCAAAGGACCTTTGTACATTTTGTACATAAAAAAAAATATAAAAGCAGTAGATATCTTTGTAGTAATCTTTACCTCAATTACAAGCTGCTGCTTCGCTTCACCAGCATTGTTTTTCGCAATACATTCGTAGGTCCCTTGATCTTCTCCAGTTACATTTTCAAACCACATTTTGTTGCTTAATACAAACCAATTTGTAGTATTTACGCCTGGCTTCTACAATTTTTTTAATGTTTGTAAAGGTTATTAACATGGGTATAGACTTGGAGCTTCATTTATTATTATACTACAAACATGACGAAACTTCGTTTTCTTAGTACAAATATAATAAATATATGTATATAAAAAAATATTATGTCTTATTAGAATTCTAGTTTATGTTTGTAATTTTATTACAAGTTATTTAAATTTGTAATTCAACGGTCGAAGTTTTAGTAAAAAAGTTAGATTAATCTTAAGTCGACAAATATGGAGTTACATTTTATAATATTGGCCGTAGATTTTATAAGAAAAAAATACTTAAAATTACTAATGGAATATGAAAAATAAAATAAGGAACAAACCGTGTTAGTAACCTTGCTCCAAGTGAATTCAGGATACGGTACACCGTCAGCTATACATTCTAATGTTAACGCCTCTCCAGCGATCAATGTTCTGTCTGGATTAGCTACAATCTGCTTTATTTTCGGTTCTATCATTACCTAGAAAGTAAAAATATATCTTAACGAACAATCTATGTATATAGCTTAAATTATTTATAATTTTAATATAAGGAATATTAAACTTTATAAAAATATTTAGAGTTATTTCCTAGACTAGTATTTTAGTAAAAGCTACAAAATATAGCTATATTCAGTGGACTATAGTACAGTATGGATGAAAGGCAGTAATAATGGAAAATCTTTTCTTAAAAAAATTGTAACAAAATTACGATATTGTTCAACAAAAAACAGATTACGATTGTGGTAAATCCAGTTAACTTTAAAATTAAACTACTGAACCTGTTTTGATAACATTGCAATAGGACTAATCTTTCAGATAAAAAGAGACTTGCAAATCGGTGCATAGCTGATGGAGTTATGAGGTAACTAACAAACAAAAAAAATTAACTGAAATGAGAACCTCCTTTTTTTTGAAGTCGGTCAACTTGTTTGAGTTACGGTCAATTATCAATTAATAATATATACGAGTATATATATATATATATATATATATATATATATATATATATATATATATATATATATATATATATATATATATATATATATCTTACTTCGACTGTAATATCCATGTCAACTTCTTCACTATACTTTAAATCCAACACTGAGCAAATGTAATTTCCGGCATCTTCTTGTGTCACGTTCTTTATAATCAACCCATCAGATACTATTTTATATTTGTCGTCGGTAAATATCTGAAATTATGTATTACCATAAAAAGCTTCATCACTATGATCCCGGTATAGAATAGGCCTCTTCTTTTCCCATGGGTCTTGTAAGAAGCAATTAGGGGCATCTAATTCTAACCTAACGTTAGAAACCGTCCCTAGACCGTTAGGTTTTATATATAGGTAGTGAAAACATCACCAAAGCTTAACTACAATTGCCAACCTGCCTGCCAAGCATAGTAACTACTGACAAAACCGCTCAATGACAAAGGATGTCTATAGGTAAGGCCTATATTCAGTAATGGACAGCTAATGGCTGTTATGACGACAAAGAGCTTCATAACTCCAAAATGTTAAATATGTACTATACATACGAGTATAAAGCGGGTTGGTAGATATTTCTAGAAAATTTAACCTAACTATCTCATTTAAGTTACATTCTTTTTTTGGAAATCGAATTCCTCATTACTTTAATGCGAGTTTACTACCTTTTTTGTTTTGGATTTAGCAATCACTTCATTTCGTCAGTTTAATAGGTATGTGACATAAAATGTCATTGTTTTTTGTTCCATTCTTTAATATTGAGAATTTAGATAAAAGAAATAGGAAAAACAATAATCAAACAGAACTAGACTTTAAAACTTTTATTCAATCCAATCAATATTTTAAATGCGAAAGATTATGAAGATTGATAGATGGATGTTTATTACTCTTTCATGCAAAAAGTATTGAACGGATTTGAATAAAATTTGGTACAGAGGTTATCCTAACTTAGCACATAGGATATTTTATATACTGATTCACGCGAGCAAAACCGTGGGATATAGCTAGTAAACATTTACCTGTATTAAGTCTTCGGTTTTCTTATGCCAGGTTATCATAGGAAGACTGATGGCAAATAACTCGCATTTGATTTTTGAATCTTTCCCCAACGAAATGAATTGCGTACTATCCTCACGGATTGAGGGCGGCTCTGTAACATTTTTATAATGTACTTACATTTTATGAGTAACTTATTTACTTTTGATTATTATATTTAATTACAGTGCTTCATAATAATAATTCAAAGTCCTTTTAATAAATAAAAAAAAATGTTGACTGTTACCTTTGTGGTGAATTTACAGGGAACAAAGGAATAACACCTTAGTCTTCAGGAATGGTAATGCATGGGGAGTATCATGGGCGAAGCAATATACTCTGTTATGTCCATAGTACTACTCATATCTATAGGCGACGATTACCACTTTCCATAAGGTGGACCGTCAGCTTGTTTGAAATATTAAGTTGCATAAAAAATTATAAGTAACGCTCAAGTGCTTATAATTTTTTCGAGTACAATAGAGACCAACGTGGTAGGGGACGATTTGATATTCATTTGATTTGAATATCATTGGAAAGTTAGTGATAAATTTCAATTAAAACACAAATTATTGGCGTTAGCTAGATTTAAACTCACGATCTTTGCTGTCGGTTTATATGAACAAATCTTGATGTTCTCGCAACGAGTGTTTAATACACCGAATCTTATTAAACAATTAAAATCAAAAATACTCTTGACCATGTTATTACATATAGACGGAGATGAATCTCTCTTGGAGTCTATTGAGGAGTTACAGAATGTACAAATTATGGATGTAATGATGATATTGTATACCATATAAGTAATTAGCATTCCTAATTAAAGGATTCATATTTTATTAACGAAATAGAATATTTTCATCAAAGAAACATGGATCGAAAAATAATAAAAAACGGCAACATTTTTTCTCCTTTTTTTATCCTTTGTTTTTATTGGAAAAGTATTCAGTTTCGCTATCAGAATACTCTGTTAAAAGCATAATACATGTTTTAATTTTAACCTGTATATATGATATTTTGTACAAAAATCAAATGTGGAATTACTAAAAAAATAAGTAGTGTATCTAGGTTATTTATACATCAATGTAATTAACATGTATCATTTACACTTTGTATAAAATAAAATAATGTAAATCAACATACTAGTGTATTAAATTGCTACTCTACCAATGATATCGAATTTGAAAAGGAACATTATTTATAAATAAATCTTACTACAGTTCAAAATTAAAATTAATTTAAACGAGGATAATTGATCAAAACGAGTGATTAATAGGAAATTCCCGAATAATTGAGTAAACATTTCAATAAATGTCTACTTTTTCCACAAGCAGATCGATACTATATGGGGATAAAAAATATTTTTAAATCTTCTCAATTACAAAACAGCATAACCTTCAAGAATCGACATCGAATTATGGGTATTATGGGCTTTATAGTTTGTAATATACATTTGAATAAAATCGAGTACTATGCTGATAGCCATCAGTTTAGTTGTATAAAATACGCTTTTAATGATATATCTATTCATATATAGATATGATACTAAAAAGTATTTATTCAGATTTTAAAAATATTAAAATAATATTCAGTAATTTCACACAGTACTAAAAGAATCTGTATAATACACCAAACAATTCTAGAATGGGTGTGGTCCAATTATTCCCTCCCTCTTAAATACGCCTCTTAAGAATATAGTTAATAATAATTTATTTATTTATTCTGATTCGATTCAAGTATACACATAGATCTTATACAATGTGATGGCTTAACAACTAGAACATATTAAATCTTAAGATCAGACCAGAAAAATAAAGAAAGTACACTAGTTATTCTATGAAACAAATAAATGACAATAGCCACCCAGCAAAGTTAATTCACACTTACCGTAAACATCCACTTTATATTGTTGGATTTCGTAATAGCTCCCATTATTGTGATCATTAATGCACTTGTAAACTCCAGACATAGTTTTGCTCAAACTTGGTATATGAAGACTGATTTTGTTGGTTTGTCTCTCTGTATACATATCCGGTTTTGGACCTGGTCTTATGAAAATAATTGTTGATGGTGGCATGCTTTATTTTAAACAGTTTTGTTGTCCAAAATTACCTAATCATAATTTGTCCTAAATAAAATACAATCGTGACTAGCATAATGTTTAATTGGCTGATTGTTAAATTTATTTTTTACATAGAAATTAATACAATCAGGGACACTTAAAAGTATTTATTAAACATTTCTCACCAAATTCTTACGAACTAAAACTATAATTACATATAACTCAAATAAGGGATTGTCTAACAGCAAATACAAAAGGGTCCATTAATAATTTCAATTTATATCAGTCTGTTTTGATAGAACTTAATGTACAGTCATTATGTTATGTTGTTGATAATACTCTCAAAATGAAATTAGTAATAAATCTAATAACATTCGTGCTATATGGTCCCGGCATAGAATAAGTTACCCCTTTCTTCCTCGTAAATGCCATAAGAGACGACTAAGCATATTATTGGTCGAGGGATCGGCAGCAGTGTCTCTTCTAAAATTTAGTGAAGATAAAAGCTTAAATGCAGTTGCAAACCCGCCTGCCAAGCTACTAGCAGAACCACCCAATAAAGGCAGGTCTATGTTCAGCATTGATAATTAACGACTGATATGGTATATGATAAACGTTCAGTCAATTGGATTTGCATATTGGATATCAGTAAAATAGGCGTCTCCTGGTCAAGTCAATTGTTCTGTTTGTTTATATTTTCATTAAGTACTATTAAATCGGCCAGTTTGTTTGTATATATATTAAATGCATATGACAATGCGTGGTTTTGTACTATTGAAATAGGATCTCACACTAAAAGTGGGAAGTTATTCATTCGATCATTTGTGGTACATTGACCGGATGTCTAGTTAGTATTGTTGATCGAAAACACAACAATACCCAAATTTAGACATAATAATTATTTTACTAGATAAATGTAAACTTACCGTAGTGTTTCAATTACTTTGTTGTTAATGTCCAACCATTTAAGATTGGTTTTTACCTTTGAATCCTGGCAGTAACATTCAAGGTATACAGATGTAGTTGCTCGTTTAGACTCCTCTATAAGCGTTGGACTATTAGATATGTCATTGTTACACGAGTCAGATTCTGTAACAATAAATAATAATACAATTAAGAAAAAGTAGTTTTAAAAAAAATCACCAAGTTTAATCGTAACAAAACAGGCAAGTTATTTTAAATTAAAAAATTAACCTTCTGAACTTATTTTATTGAAATTTCTATGAGATTTGCCTGAAAGTATATCTTTTCAAATAAAAGAAGAAATTTACAAATTAATTTACAAATGACAGAGTTCTGATGTAACAAACATGAGATAAAATTGCATCCGAATTGAGAACCTCTTCCTTTTCGAAGTCGGTTTAAAATAGACTATTAAATATTTATAATTATGTTAAAAAACTTTTCAACGTTTCACGTGATTGTCTTTAGAACCAGAAACCTTTCGTGGAAAATGTACCTACCGTAAGATCACATATACCACGGATATAATTTGGTTAACATATTACTTTTTATTTTATATTAGAACTAATTTTTTCGTATATCATAAACAAGAACATAACAATTCTTCAGCACTTACCCAACCGTGACATTTATCCAACCAAAGTAATTTCAAATGTCAGGTACGAGATTGGAGGAGTTTTCCATGGAGCATCTTATTAAAGTTTTGTGAAAGTCGGTTGAAAGGAAAGATCGTAATCTAAAGCGTCCGTAATGTAATATTCAAGTTTAATAAAAGTTCATTTATCGACGCCTGAGAGTTTCCTGGTTGACAAGATTAGCACAGAATCGATATTTAAAAAAGTGTTCATGATACTATGTAGATAAATTAGGCAGTTTTAGTTTTATTTCAGATGAGAATGTTCTCGAAACATAACGAAACATCCTTACTATTATATAAAACATCTATTTTCTTAATCGTTACTAATATTATAAATCTGAGAGATCATTTGTTACCTTATTGTTCTTTAAAGACTTAACCCATTACTACGAAATTTGGAATGTATGTACTGTATTAGATGAAAAAGGACATGAAACTACTTTTTGTCTCCATCAATGAGCATATCCTAGTTACGCGAACGACGTCACTGGTAAATACTAGTTAGAAATAATTGTAGAATAGTACAAGTGATCTTTGCAATAATTGTACAGCTTTAACGATCTATCTGAATTGAGAGCTAGAATGACCCTTATGTCGACGACCTTATCTGAGTGACAATCTCTGTATCAAGCACCATTAATCTATTCTGCAAATTTAGTATTAAGGAAAGAGCAATTAAAATTATATTTATATTATAAAAAAAAGAAACAAACTTAACATATTAAAAAAAAAATTCATCTATAAAAAGCTGAAGCGAGTGGGCTAGGTAAGTAGCTAGTTTTAAATAAATTTAAATGTTATTATAGCAGTAATTATTTTTATGTTTTTTTTTAATACTAAATTTGGCGTGAATTTACTGGGTACAGAGGAATAACATCTGAGTCCTCAGGAATGGCAACGCATGGGCGAAACAGTATACTCTGTTATGTTCATGGTACTGCTCATGTCTCTAGGCGATGGTTACCACTTTCCATCAAGTGGGCCGTTAGCTTGTTTGCTATTCAAAGTTGTATAAAAAAAATTATAAATTTTTAAATGAAAAATTAATTTAATTTAATTCCATACCTACATACATATATTTCATTCATATAATTTTAAAATTATACCTACTATTTTTTTACATATTTACATGCAAAAAAATACTGATGTATATTGACGTGAATGTACAAGAGTAAATTTTATATGTCATTAAATAATTCATATTTTAACCCAAAAAGCCATATAATAGTATATAAAAATACTTATATATAGGTAAGTATGTAAAACGATTTTTTTTCTAGTACATTGCACAATTGTTAAGTCAATTGGTAGAAATACAACTTTACCCCAGTGGACTATTATATAGAAACCCCGTAGAGATTGTAATGAGATAAAATCGTCGAGTCACCAAAAATAACTTACGAATGTCTTTTCACATATAAAAAACGGTGAAAGTTTGTTGCGACTCGTAGAAATAGTAAAATGTGTAGAAAAGTGTTGTAACTTACGCAATCAACTTAGTGATAAGGGTTAGGTACTTTTAAAATGATGTAAAATGAATTTATGAACCTAATATAATATTTAGGATTTTTTGGTATTGCTATGATTGCGAACAAGCATATGGCTCATCAAAATAATTGAAAAGAATCGTAGCCTATAGATGCTTGCAACATCAAGAATGAATGGTTAGGATTCTCAAATGGCAAATTACATTTGCAATTAATAAAAACGATCAAATATTTAATGGTAAATATTATTTAAATTAAAATTTTATTGAAAATTATATAAATTATAATAATAAATGTTTAAAGGATGTATATTTATATGCTATATAAATATACGCTTTCCATTAAATGAGTTTCTTATTCTTCTGCAATATTTTTTATTAGGGAAAATATTTATAATGTAAAAATTTTTATAACTAAAACATGAATAAATGATTTTTGAATTTTATTTTTTGAATTTTGATCATTATTATTTTTTTTATACAACTTAGAATGGCAAACAAGCTGACGGCCCACCTGATGGAAATGGTAATCGTCGCCTATAGACATGAGCAGTACCATGGACATAACAGAGTATACTATCAACAAGTCATCACTGGCCACACTCACTGGTCTAAATTTCTTTTTATTATTATTAAAAAATTAATTTACGTGACAAAAATGGCACAATTTTTATAAATGACCATTAAACTGTTTTTGATCTTGAAGGCAATAAACTCCTGACCTCATAGCAATAGCGCATTGTGTTCATTTTATTACCATCGTAAAACATTGAAATCTATCTCACAAAATTTAATGGTTCGAGTAATTGTAGTTTAATAAACAAACTATAATGTGGGTTTTATGTGTTTGGGACCAGTTATAATTGCACAATTATAAACATTCTAGTATGTTTCAGGAAGAAGCACTTTAGTCTATGGCATTTGTCAGTATCTATGCTCGTGCTTAATAAAATCGTACTATTTTATTATCTGTGGTTACAAGTGTTAAGAATACATTCCAAATGTAAGAACAGAAATGGCCAAACGATCACGAAAGAAGTTTCGTAATATTACTTACCAAAACCAAAACTGCCGTTAACTATTTACAGCTGAACATTGGCCTCTCCCAATTGGAAAGTTTTGCCAGTAGTTGCCACGCTTGGCAGGCACGTTTGCAACTGCAGTTAGGCTTTGGTGATGTTTTAAGAGGCCACTGCCTATCCTTCGACCATTAAGTTCTCTTAGTCGCTTCTTATAACACCCACGGGAAAGGAAAGACTTATGTTCTATAGTAGACAGTTAAAGACTGATATAATGATGTTTAACACTTACTCACGCTTTAATGGCTGATTGTAATGAAATTTTATGGATGTATAAAAGTATGTATACTAGATTTATCATAATTTGCGAAAGTAACGCCGCCGGATATTCATATAGATAGCTAGTATATAACAAAATGCATATCTGTTCCATCATACATTACAACAACCTACATAAACAGGTACCAAGCACATCCGTAGCATTTCAAACAACGGATGATGTCACACGAATAATGAAGTTAATAAGGTACGAATGCAATGTATTACTGAATAGGTTAAACCGTCTTAAATACACTATCCACTGTAACCTCACACCACAAAGAGATGTAATCTTTAACAGAGATAAAACTGACTCACACCTATTTTAGTTACAGCATGACGAAATGTTATGCTTTGCATTTTTATGTCAATTTGTTTAATCTAGCGGTTTCTTATAGGATAAATAATATAATTCGTGTAATGAATTGTAGCAGTTTCTTGTAACAATTTTAGTGGTGACAAGGTCGAAACAATTGAATGCTGAATGTGTCTATGAGTAATACACACGATGGAATTTGCAGAGAAATTTTTATTCACTATCATTGAAGATATTGTCGCTTAATAGAAATAGAAATAATCTTTATTCAAATAGATTTATTTACGAGATCCTTTTTAATCGTTAATTTTTTTATAATTATACTGCTGAGTTTGAAATGTTATCTGCCGAGAATAACCCGTAAGAAATTCAACGGTTGCACTTTTTATATTATTATGTACAAGATAATTTTACATTTACATGGGTAATGTGACTATAATGAGAATTGAGTTCTATTTATATGTTCTTTTAAATAGAAAATATACAAGCAAATATGAACAGACCAGTCCCCACAAGCAGCACCCGTTTACGAGTATGACAGGATGGATGAGTCAGCCATCACTGTGCTCAACCATATTTTAGGAAACGCAACGACCCGGTCCATCACGCATCCTTACATAGTTCACCTATGTGATTCTACTTAACTCGTTTTTTAATAAGACATTACTCAATCGCATTTGTCTTTTAAACATGAACAAAACTTAATACAGAAATATTGTATAGAATAATAATATACCGTAGAATTATATAGGTATAGGAGGTTGGTAAGTATTTTGTTATAGAAACGCACTAAATCATCAGACATTTCAACTTGGTTAAGTTTTATTATAATTCACGCGGACAAAGCCGCGGTATTCAGTTAATTTGTAATTTTAACGAATATCCATAAACAGAAAAACATCAATACCTATTCCTATTTTCTTGTAGAAGCGAAATTGGCAAGGGCCTCCCCTACGATGTTTTCTATGTGCTAATTCCTACACATGGGAGTAATAACATTAAATCGTATTCCAAAGCACTTTCAATGCTTTCCCGCTAACGAACCGATAATTCAGGGGGTGGGTATATGCTTGTTATTTGTGGGATTTACAATTTTTCCACGTAGTTTGTCTAGTTTTGAAGCCACTTAAAAAAAGAAAAGCTTCTCAATCCTCATTAATATTACAAAAGCGAAAGTAAGTTCATTTGTTTGTTTATTTATTACCTCCCTAGCTTACTAATCACTATAAAATTTTATATACATGTACTATAAGAAAGGATGAAGGACATAGGCTACTTTTTATCCCGATCAGTGAACTCATCCCAGTCATGCGGACGAAGTTGCGGGTAAAAACTACTTTGTTTATACTT